TTCGTTTGCGATTTCCCATCGGCGGTGTCGCGGTGGTTGCCGTCAGTGATTCATGGGGATTGGTGGAGGGGTTCACGGGATAGGGGTTGTGGCTGTGGGGGGATTTGTGTTTAAATTAAAATATTTATTTTTATTATAATAATTTATTTAAAAAATAAGAAAATTGTAAAAGAAAAAAAAAAAAAAAAAAGCAACTCACCAATTACAAAGAGATATGTGTCATACTAGTTCATTAAACAGGTTACCAATTGGTTTCGCCACATTTTTAGAAGATCATATGCAAAGGTCGTTTTATTGGGGATTGTCAAAAGGTTGTTTCATTTATGGTAGATCAAGCAAAGGTCATAATATTCCTGTCAATTTTTTCTAAAACAAAATTCAAAACAAGAAATATGTATGGAAGAAATACAATTTTTAAAAGCACACATATACTAGTGGCACGAACTTTGGCCCAAATGCAAATAACTGAAACCTTTCAAGTTTCAACCAACTTCACATTTGTCACAAAAACTAATCATACTACATGACTTTGGATGAATGAGGGTGAGGGATATCTCAACTAGTTAAATCTTCCTTGTCGATTTCAGAAGATCTCATGATCAATTCTCATCTCCGCCCTTTGAAAAAAAAATGACTTTAGATGAATAATAGCATGATGATCTCCACAAATTTAAATACGCTTAAAACGTGAACGCATTTATGAAGAGTCATTTAAGATATAATATTACCAAAATTCATACAGTTCAAAACGGTTTTTTCCTAAGATCAGGATGTTCCTCGTTACAAACCCAACAACTTTGACTTCTTAAAGAAAAAGCCAAAACCTTGTCCGTTTGATTTGGTTGCAAAAAAAAAAATTATACTTCCTCCGTTTCATATAAGAACTTTTTTTTTTCTTTTTTTTTATGCAAGCTAGGGATCTTATAAGAAGCTTATTTCCCATTTTTCACGGGAAAGTGCAAATATGCTTGCGGGGTTAGAGAGAGATAAAGAGAAAGAAAAAAATGGTTGAAAATTATTAAAGATATAGAGAGAGCGAAAGTGTTGGAAATTGATGTCAAAAGTACAAAAAGAATAAGAAATAGTATGACACATCATAAAAAAAGGGTATTATTGTCAAAAGTACTTTTTTTTTTTGACACAAGTCAAAAGTACTACTTCCTCCGTTCTTTTTTTATTGCACCATGAGAGATTTTACACTTCCAAATGCATTACTTTAACTATTAATATCTTCAATTTTACTTTTGTAAAAATTATAAAAATTTGATATTTGAAAAGTAAATTTCGAGACGAATCTAACTAGATTCCACATGACTATGTTTTTCCTAATGGATAAATCACAAATGATGGTCAAAGAAATTAAGTGAATAGTGTAAAAGTCCTTATGGTGCAATAAAAGAAAAACAGAGGAAGTATCTATAAATAGTAATAGGCTTCGAATTTTAAATACCCAAAAAAGGAAAACATGCTTCTAATTATGAAATGGAGGAAGTATCCCATTTTGTTGCTGAAAATTTGAATTAATTGTCAATTACATGATCTCTAATACATATCTTTGACCATTAATGTATCCAGTCATTTATCTGTTTATGTAACTTGCAAAATATTGACAAGTACATTTGTCAATGCACAACATTAGCTATTAAAATATTTAAAACTATATAACAAAATACGAGTATTAAAATGTTACGAGTAACACTTAAAAAAAAATGTAAATATACAATAAGTAAACCGAACATTTTATATAGTAACATTTGCTTTCAATATGCTCCCTCCATCCTAAATTACATTCCTACTTCTAGCATTTATTCTTCACATAATAGAGAGAAGTATGAATGTAATTTAGAGACTGAGGGAGTATAGCTATAAAGAATGGTAAAAGTAAGGAGTGTAAATAATGCAAAAAAGTCAAATATTTGACTCACTTTTTATATGACGAACTATTTCGTATTTAAAATGAAATTAGACCACCAATAATTTAATCTACCATAACGATCCACTGTGACTCACTGACTTACCTTTTTCAATTTAAAAAACCGCTCTCACCTCCTCCTCCTCCTCCTCCTCCACCATTAGTAATTCCACTTGTTTAATTCGTATCAATAAGATATCTTCTCATTAACTCCACTCTACACGTTTTTCTTAAACGTTGTATTACAAGCACGGTAAATTATTACAAAATGAAAGGAGTATACAAGAAAAAAATATATATATAATAATGACAAAACAAATGGGATTATTCCACGTGTTAAGTGATGTAAGATTATATATCAAATTTAATTATTTTTCCCCCAAAAAAAAAGTGTGCCCGGGAACTATAAAAGAAAACATCTCTCGCTCCCTCCCTCGGTCATTATACTCCTACTACTACAAGGAAATCTCTTCTTCTTTCTCTCTCTACTTTCTCTCTCTATTTTTCTGCAACTTCTTCTCTTTTTACAGATATATAGGATTTCAAGTCTGCTGTTTTCGTCGCTTTTCTTCCTTATTTTTGGGTGAGAATTCTTTTTCTTCTACCCTTTCAGTCGACTCTCTATTTTTTCTACTTGAATTTAACTGGTTTTTTTTTTTTTTTTTTTTTTTTTTTTTCTGTTGATTTTGTTCATTTTTTTGGCATTGATTTTTTATATTTTTTTCTTTAAAATTATTTGATCAAATCCCACATTTTCAATCATCAACGAGAGAAATTTTGATTATTTTAGGTTTGGTTACCTTTTGATTTCGGTTATTCCTGTTTTCATTTTAAAAATATTCGATTGTTTTGTGTTAATGTTGCACTAGAAATTAGAGCATGGATTTTGGAGTTTTATTTTGTAAATTTTGCATTAGGAATTATGATTTTTAGGCTTTCCGACTGATTGAGGGTTTTTTTATAGTGAAAAAAATTGGTGTGGAAGGGGAAATTTTCTTTTGCTCATTAATGTTTTTCTTTTAGTTTGTTTGGACATAAATTTTGCATTTTACCCTTTTTTTTTTTTAATTTTTTTATGTTCTGTATGTGTAAGAAATGATTTTTATTTAAACATTTTTTTGTAAAAGACTAATGTAACATACCGAAGTTCAACAAGGTATGGATACAAGTACATAACACATGTAACATGTATAATACGAGTATGTAACAACTATAATGTTGGTTGCTAAATTTTTTATTTGTTTGATTAAAATGTTTTTATCACATTGTATGACAAGAGACCTATCATAACGTTTTAATGGGTGTGGGATTTGTGTGCTTTGCGTCAAGGTCATTTGGTGCGTAGATATAAGTTAGTTGCTTGGAGTCTATGTTAAATGTATATTCATTATTATGATTATACAGATTAATTACTTGTAATAATTAACTATTTTATGTGCGAGTTTTTTGAGTCAATTGGGGCTGGGGCACATAAATAAAGGCATAGAGAATAGAGATTAGTATTAGAAGTGTGCTTGTAATAACACTTTAAAATTTGTATGTTTATTCAACGGGAGTAAAAAAAATTCCCATGCATGCCAAATCTTTAAATTCTTGGAAGAGTGCTTGTAACACTCTAAATTTCACCCTCCTGTTTTCTTTCTCGTACTTCCTTGAATTGCACTCTAGTAAATGTAATGCAAGGAGTTGAGTTTGGTATAAGGTTATGAACATTTATTAGAAATTGTACTTTATTTTATTGGTATTTGACAACTGATTGCATGTGTTTTTTTAAGAGATACTTCCTTTGTCAATATATGTTCTTCTCATTCATCTTGCCGTTCAAGGCTATGAAATTTTATGGTGCCATCTATTTATATTTATTGAGTTAAATGATCATCTCCGTTTGAAGTCTTATTAGATTTTTTTCAAGGGGCTTAAAATGTGTAATGGTAGATTAAGATATTAAAAGAATAAATATTAGAAATACAGGAAGTTTTTAAAAAAATTCAACCAAATGTGTCCCATTAGTTTTCATTTTGGTGATAATAAAATACATTAACCATAAACAATGAGAAAAATAGTATTTTAAGAATTGAATATATGTGCAAGTTTCTTTATTCCTTCATCATATATAACCCTTGTATATCTAGATAAGAAAGATATTGTTGCTACATATAAGAGTAGTATAATTTATGTGTATTACCTCATAAGTTTGTTTGTTACCCCCAATTTTTTTTAATGTATCCTAACTACTCTATTTTGTGCATCTATCTTATGTTTTTCCTCCTTTGGATTTAGCCTTGTATGTTGGCAATTTAGATAGCAATTTGGTATAAAAATAAAGAATCTGCATGTCATATGTTAAAGTTACTAGTGCACTACTAGTAAGTAGTAATGATTATTACTCCGTATCTGTTATTGAAGGTTTGTGATCGAAATCATGTTATGGCTTGCTTTCAATTTAACTAATTTTACATCTCATATGATTTTACTCTGATCATTGAGTGCACCCATAGACTAGAGCAAAGTTTCTTGCATTATTATCGTTTTAACAGTGTAGTTTTGAATCTGCTGTCTCATCTTAGATAATTTTGGAGCAAATGAATTTTAGCTACCAGCATCAGAACCAGATGTCTGATGAAGAAGAGTTTGCGCAAATGCTAAGTTCTTGTATCTCATATGGCGATGGTTACCTCTCATCACCGAATGGAAGCTCCCCTAATACGTGGGGTACTTCAATCAACATTTCCCATTCGGTTGCTCATCATCAAGGTTCGCAATTTGTTCATGGAGAAAGCTCATCAGGAGCCAGAATTAAAGATACCTCGTCGATTGCTGATGCTAATTCTCCATTTTCTGGGGTTCCATATATGCCAGGCAATGGCGGTAACAACATCAATATTTTTACAAACTGTGGAATAGTTTCGTGTACTGTTAGAGAGAATTTCCCAGCTCAACAGCAGACCTTCCAACCAGGCCAAATTTACCCAAAAAGGAATGGAAGACAAGGCGACCAGCTTCCAAGTCCAACTTATTCTCCGCAGATGATGATGCAAACAAATCAAGCATCTATTACTCCTTTCATGAAGTATAAGAAGCCCCGGATAGAGATGACACAGGAGAACTACATGCATTCTTTTTCTGTTCCGCAGCAATCACCTACTCAAGTCCCTATGCAGTTTAGAAGTTACGATCCTGTGACAGGTAGTTGGTTGCATCAGCAAAATGTGGTACCAAACCAACAGCAGAAACAGTCCCCTTTATCGGTTCCCTCCACACAAAGGCATCCGATGCAGAGTCAGCCTCCACAGCAGCTGACCGGAGATGTCCTGAAACAATTGACTACTACTGCTGCTGTGAGTGGAAGCATATGTTTACGCCAGCTGGTGTTTTTCATTCATGATCGACAGAATAGGCCACCTGTGAGTTGTTTAGCCTTGATAAAAAGTTTTGTTCTGTATTTCTAAACTAGAAGCTTGCATTTTTGTCTAAAATCTTACATGAGTGTTTCAATTAATATGAAACTTTGTTTTTCTTGATTCGAGGTACTGATTTTTTTTTTTTTTTTCCCGTTTGTACCTTGTAGGACAATAACATTGGATTTTGGAGGGAATTTGTGAAGCAGTATTACTCTCCTATGGCTAAGAAAAGACTCTGCTTGTCCATGACTTCCATGATTAATAGAGACCGTCACCAGAAAGTTTGGATGTGTGATTTATGTGGATCAAATGCTGCCAATGCAGGGAAAGGATTTGGTAAGCATTCTGCTGTTTGTATTCTTGACAAACTTTAGTTACGCAGTATACTAAATATTTACTATGTATTATACCTGCAGATTTTCATGCATATCTTTTACTTGTAATATCATAATCTTTGCAGAGACATCTTATGAACTTCTTCCAAGAATGAGCCAGGTTTACTTCAAAAACTGCGTTGAAGATGAACTTTTATACTTGAATTCACCTGTTGAAACAATACTTCCATCGGGATCAATGATGTTGACGTTTAATAAAGCGGTACAACAGAGCATTTATAAGAATATTCATGTTGCTCACCAAGGACAACTTCGCATTGTATTTACTCCAGAGTTGAAGGTCAGTAACTTTTGCGCTTTTCTGCTTACAATTTCATCTTTGCATGAGCTATAAGGGATTTTCTGTCTAGTGCACTATGCTCACTCTTTCTGCCATCGTGATAGATAATATCTTGGGAGTTCTGTGTACGATCTCATGAGGAGCTTGTTTCGCGAAATTTCCTTGCAGCCCAGGTACTAACACTCACTTTTATGCTTCCTGGTTCAAATTAAGTGGTAATCTGTCCTATAATATCATGTAGCACATTAGCCTCAAGTTCTTCTGAGGCTCTAAGCCTCTAACATTTGCTAATAATGCATCAATATCAAATACTTCATAGTGTTTTCCTATCCTGCTTTCAATGTCATACAAATTTAGTATATCAGGATTCCTCTATATTCATTACTGTCCCATCAGGCCGTTACACTTAGTGCTTTTGTTTTTAATCTTCTTGGTTGTGGAGGTTCTCATTGAATTATAATTATGATATGAGTAGGATATAATCCTGTCAAAAATTATAATATAATTTAGAATCATGTCAGTAATTATTTAGCTTTCATGGACTTTAATTGAAAAATAAAGCTTACAAACTTACTCTGACCTTTATATGTTAATGTGGGATATATGTGCTATTTATATATTTAGTTTGTGCTCATGCCATAAGTACATCAAAATAACAATATGTTTACAAGCTTCTTTTGGGCTTTTTCTTCAATAGTAGGTTGCATATGAAGAAACAGTTTTGGTTTGTCTAAAAGCTTTGAAAAACTGAAAGCATACCCCTCTTAGCATTGTGCAATTATTGAACTTTAATACCATAACTTCCTGCATCTGTACATTTTTTCTATCGAAAATCAAAGACTAATCCATGAAGGCACTATACTTAATACAAGATTGACTTGAGTTGCTCTTCATTTACATATTTATGTGATGTAACATATATTTATAACTTTATAAGATATCTTACCGTTGCAGGTTAATGAATTTGTTGAGGTTGCTAAACAATGCAAAAGAAACGAAGGGTTTAATGAAAGGAATGGATTTCAAGCACAGGATCAAGTAACATATAGCAATAGGTAAAACATATGACCCCTGGCTCTGAGTGATTCCTTAATCCTCCTCCCCCCTCTTTCTCTTGTCCCCAGGAACTGGATGGCTGCTACTATTACTTATCTAATCTCGTTGTTATTAATTTTAACTATTCCATCATGTAGTTAAGAATGGAAAAGATTGTTTACTCCATTTTCTGGCTTGCATATCTTGTTCAATGAGGGAACAGGGATTTATTAATATTTAAGAATTAGAAGTGAAGTTATCGGTCTAAGAATATTGAGTTAGGAGGTGGTGTAGTAGGTTTTTTCTTTAGACGAGTATTAAATTTCTTCATTAATGGTCTTTCACTCTTTGTTCTTGGTAGGCTAATGGCTGCAGGGAAACACCTAGCAGCAAACTTGGAACTACCTAATATTAATGAAGCAGGCTTTTCCAAAGTATATGTTCGACACATGCAGGTATGTTAGCTTTCAGAAAATTGCAACATTCCAGTTTTCCAAATTTTAATATTGGTATATTCATGTAACACTCGCTGATTATGGCTTTCAGATGTCTGACGTTATTGATTCTATGAAAGATCTGTTTGGTATGTGCGCTGACAGCCAATCCAACAATTTCAGTCCAATAGGTAAACCCTTGCTTGCAGTTGCCATTATAGTTTTGTTTAGTTTATGTCCTGCGACTCCTGCCTGCAAAGATTTACTATCATAGCCTGTAGTGTTTAATACGAAGTATAAGAAATTTTTTAATGTATTATTAATTATGCTGTAAAATGAACTTGAGGAAATGTCAAGGACTTGGTTTGTGGTGATAAAGTCAATTGCACTGCTTGAATATAGCTATGATGCGTCTCTACTCTGTCAAAATACTGCTCTGAATGATCGTCATTTTTTTACTACCTCTGCTGCTACTAGGCTTGGTAATTGTTGCATTTGTGACTGTACGAATTGGTTTTCTGATCATGCAGAGGCTCTGCAAAGTCTTCATCGAGATTCAATACTTAAGAAGCATATGGAAAGCATAGCACAGATGCCGCAAACACCAAGTGTTGGTGTCAACATGGTGTCAAATATTACAAATCATACACCAAATACTAGCAAACAGGCCATGGTGATTCCCCGAATCTATCAGTATAATCAAAGCCCCAACATCAGACCATTATCTTACTCTGTGCCATACAAGCCCTTATACTCTTTGCCAGGTAGTCCTACCTCTCATCAGCAAGGCCCAACCGTTATGCACCAAATAAACGACCTTCTAGCTCGTGCATATACTAATGGAACCCTAGCGAAAGGAGGAACACAAAGCAGGGTTGTGTATGCCCCAAAAATTGAAACTCAGGCTGCAGAATCTGCTGAGCTAAGAAAGGCTAATGCAATGCAGACAAAGGTGAACACATCTGTTATATTGGGTGGTATGGCGGACAAGGGTAAAGGGTTCAACTACTCATCTGGCAGCAACTCATCTGCTAGGATCTTCGCTGATAGCTGCCTGGTAAAGAAAGAACCATGGTCTGACGATGACACCACCTCAAATGTTGGTCACCATCAGGTTGAGAAAAAATGATCGTCATTGATGATTCAATCTGTAATCTGCTGTTTCTGTGTAGATTTAACAATTGAGCAATGTGAGTTATGTTAAACTCTAATAAAGTTATGTTTGCCATTATTCTCTAGAAACTTCGTAGCACATCTCATTAGACTTGGCTGTTAGCTCCTTAGGGATGTGTTGTTAGTAATAGACTTGTTTATGTAATTTGTTATGTTTGTCCCTTTTTTTTCATATATAAAATTTATGAACTAATTAGTTACATACCATGTTTTCGCATGTATTAAATCTACCTTTACTAATAACTAAGCTAGAACAACTTGAATTCTAGAGGAAGATGATACAAGCAACAAAAGAAATAATTTGTTGCCTAAGAGATCATCAATATTTAGTGGACTAATCAATAACTAAATTGAAAGAAATTATAACTCAAATCTCCATTGTACTCTACATAGTAGCTAGTAACTGACTGTCTATATCATCTACAATTAGCTGACATTCTGTTAGGATTTGCAATCCCAACCCAAAAGTCCAACACGGTTAGTAGGACTGGAAGGCATGTTTTGAGTTTCAAGTTCGGGTTTTTAGTTTCTTAATATCACTTCTATTCTAGATGTAGGATATATTTTAGAATACATAAGATTTAGGACCTGTTCTGATTGATTGAGCAGAACTGAAGTGAACTAAACTGATTTTTATGAGAGAAAGAAATTAAAAACTGAACTGGATTGAAAATAAGCTGAAAAGAACCCTTAACTTGTAAAAGGGTAGTATGTACTCTAGATGATGAATTAGGAATTTTCAACTTTTGCATGCACAATAACAGAGAGAAATATTATTATATAAATTTTATATTAGTACAGAGCTCTCAAAAGGTTTAAGACGATCCTACAAGAAGCCAACTCGTATTGCTTCAATAGAGGCATCATTAGTTCATTACCCAACAATAACGAACTGATCATGTGTTATTGGACCGTGTTAGACTTGAGGCCTTGAGGGGAGCATAATAGAGTTTAGCTTACATAAAACTTGAATAAATCCATACTAAGATTCATGTATACACAATAATAAGGAGAGATTATTTATTGACACTCTTAGGTTTCTAGATTACATAGTTCTTGAGAGCTACGAGTTGTAATTAAAAGGATGTTATTTGCTGTATTTTTTTGGTGTTCTACCTGTTTACCCATTGGACTAATTTGGATTCGGAGATGAAATAACTGGTTTTCTCGAACCGTTCAAGCTACTACTCCGTATGTTAATATGATGTTCGTTCTAATTTTTCTAGTGACAGGTCGTCTAGCTACTGGAGAGAACTTTCCCCTTAAAAGCATCAACACTCGTGGTATAATTTTATACCACGGTGTAAAAACTCATCAAAAACTTGCAATTTTCACTACATTGGTGGTATAAAAGTATACTATTTGATGGTATATACCATCTCATGGTAAACATTTGCTTCGATCCCCGTAAAACATGAACCAACCAGGTCACGCCATGTGGCCTGGGTATCATGTATCTTTTATTTTATTTTTTTTCTAATTGCATTTTAAGAAAAAATTATAAAGTTAAAAATTATGAAAAAATTACCATTGTTCATAATTTTTGAAGATTTACACATAGACACCCATATTGATATAGTTTTATATATTTTTTCGAATTCGCTTTTACTACGTAAATTGCTTATTTTATTTAATTAACTTTACAAACATTAATTAGTTATTTCCAATAATAAAATGAAATATAATTATAATTAAATTAAGTGTATTATTAATAAAAATAGGAGAGAGAAAATGTGGTGGTAAACTTTTTTTATACCATGGGTGGGTTAATTTTTGGAGAAAGTATATTGTATTGTGATATAGATGATGTGGAGGAGTGAGAAAATGGTATAGAGAGAGAGGGATGGTATAAATTTTTATACCATGAGTGATGATGGTCTAATTAAGACCACAAAAATAATTAATTTCAATAAAAGAAAAAGGGTGAATGACTTCATATCCACCCTTTATGAGAAATGGGTGGTGAATAACTATTGAAAAGGCACCGGCTTAACCGTCATCCCACAATTAAAACATAGATTTTGTTTTAAATAACCAGCATATAGATTGTCTACGTAAAGCCCCACTATGCCACTACCCCATAAAAGTGAACTATCATAAAAATTTCAACATTACAAATTAATGCAATGTTTTTCGTTAACAATGTCGACTCATGTTACCATGTACTCATATTCTGACCTAACCACAATTTAAACTCGAGTCCCATTTTGTTTTCCATGCTTTTCTTTTTGGATGCGGCAAAATTATATTTTGATTTACATCGTATGTGAGCTCTTTTTAATTAATCCTGTCTTTACGTCCTAAAATACCGTGATAAAGCTCTTTAATGACAAAGTTGACCACTTATCCTAGTGTTATCCAAAATTTATATGAATTTCCTTAATTTTTCGTAAAAAAATTAAAAAAATATATATTTAAAAAGCAAGATGAGATGGAAGAAAAAATTGTAGAAACATTAAGCACAAGTCAATAATAATAACATCAATCATAAAGAATATTTAAAGTTGATAATCAATCTTAAGACTATTATAATTGTGAATTTCCTGCTTAAGTAGATAGGTGACTTGGCTTAGATTAATCCAAATTTGTATTATCACCTAATTATATTTGCTTGAAAATTAATCATGGGAACTAATAAGCTAATCAAGTCACCTCAATCAATGTGATAATCCAACCAATAGGAAAAACCATATTTCTTTATTATCAACCAATTAATAAATAGTAAAACAATGTCATTCTCTTATTATCCACTTGATGACCTAATAATATCACCAAATATAACCCGCTTTTGGATAACGACACTAATTTCCATTGATAAATTATCCTACACAATTATGTAAAAGAAAAGGCATTAATTTGAAAATTGATTACTGCCACTGGTTTAATAATTAAGATTAAGCAATAATTAGCAAAGTGATTTAGAATATTCCTAAGAGAAAACTATGGCTAAGCTCCAACACATAGAATTTGTACTTGAAAGACAGAGGACCACAAGTGGTGGCTACTTTTTATTTGTGGCAAAGCATCTACTGTCTAAATACTTGTCAATGATCTTTTATTTTTGTTTTGTGGTGCTACCACAATGTTGCTTATTTTGCTCCTTCATACCACACCAACAAGCAACATGTGATTCATTTTATTCGTTCATAGACCAATAAATGAAAACATATTGTATCATAGATGATTCATTGTCATTCATTAGTTGCAATTAAAAGGATAGGTCAACTCCATAGATGACTAGTAGAGCTGGTCATTAGGTAGGGAAGCCTAATGATAATATGGTCAGGGTCAGGCTTAAAAGGCCTTTTAATGGAAGGCCCTTATTGGGTAGGGTCAAAGAGCAAAATGTTTTTTCAATTTAATTGATACAGAAAAAAGATCATGTAAAAATAATTACGTAGATAAATTTGTAATCATATATACTTAATGGCTTTATCTGATATTTAGTTTAATTGATATTTTATAGGCCCGCCGACCTACTATTGACCCGGGACTCGCATTGGCCAGAGTGCCAGACCCGATGTTAACCCTATAAAATATGACCCTCTTTGACTCGACCCACACCGACTCTGACCGACCCACCCCATAACCAAGTCTAATGACCAGGTATGTCAGTGTTCATAGTAACGCTAATCAACTCCATATCACGCAATGGTCTAGATATGTCAATGTCTATAGTAACGCTAAGCAACTTTGTTAATTGTCAAAATATGTCAATTTCTATAGTAATGCTACTACTTGATAATCAGTAATGCTAATCAACTTCAAAGAAGACCGAGTATGCCAATGTTAATATTAATGCTAAATTGCTAATCAAATCCGTGGAGCGCATATTTACCTAACTACATCAATATCTATAATAACGCTAATCTACTTCATTTAGGTGACCAATTGGTATATATCAAGTTGTCAACGTCTACATAACCCTTTACATATAGTCGGATGGTATGAATGCTAATCAACTGCGTTTACTATCAGTTCAATTCCTAATTTCCTTCTATCATAAAATATTCATTTTTCAATTCAATTCAACTCTAATAATTTCAGTTCAATTTAACTCATTTCACTCAATGAGAACAGACCCATACTACTACTCGTATT